GTGAGCATAGTTATAGTTCCAGTTGTCCCTCAGCCATACTGAATTTACCGGGGCTTATGAAAACACATGTACTAAACGAATGGAAGGCAGACACGCCTACCAGAAGTTGCCTTGCACATGGACAATCTTTTGGATGGACTAAGTAAAAGGTTGAACGTAATGGGAATGGTACGTCACTGTGTTAGTATATAACATTGGAAAGGAATCGAGGCATAGCGACAATCATTTTATGAGCACCAAATGGTTGCACCCGGAACGTACGATATAGACCGTTAGCAAACAGCTTATGGCCACAGTAGAGTACACATCGGTAGGTACAAACGGTTGAGTAGTTGGACATTTAGACAAAAATTGCGAACACGGTTTGGAACGTCGCATGTTTGACGGTGGGCAACGGAACTTAGTTGATGTCACCTGTCAATACCAAAGATTGCGTATCAATCGTTCTTTGAGTAAGTGCACATACCTCGGGGAGCACGTGACCGAACCGGTCGGAGACACAGAGAACAGAAGTGGACACTGCATCGTATTCGCATGCTGTGTGATCTCAACCATCAGCTACTCAAACCCGATTGTACATGTAGAGGGCAACACTTTAGTGCACACTATTTCACTGTTCCATTAGTCTAGTCATTATTCTACCTAGCAGTTGCTTCACTATTGCTATATCCGGTTCCTTCAAATATCTATGCCCAAGCTTTAAGGCGGTCACGTCTAAATGTTAAAGAAGACATCAACAGTTCGTATTCGGGAACTTTTTGTTATGCCTGCGAAAGTGGTTGTTAGGCTGACCTCCAAACCAAACCCATACACGGTTGTCGTACCATTGATCATGAGGTCTAATGTGTCTCTATCCAGTTTGTGACAGCTCACACTTAAGTATGGATAAACGCATGTGCATATGTTGTATTCGAAAAGCCATTGGATACGGATGACGCCAGTCATTGTATATATGTATACCGAATGAATTCGACGGGGATACTCATACCGCATTTGTACGGCTAACTTAGTGCAGGGTAACGGCACTCGAGCAAACCGAAAATAACATTACCAGAACATGAAGAAGGTGAGTTTATGGCAAACTCATGTTGATTTCAGGTGTTGCGAATCCAAGTCAAATTTGATCGATGCGAACTCCGTGGACTGATCATAAGAGCGGTTGCTCGGGTGCAGGAGAAGGTACTATTGCACGCGGAATAGAAGCATGATGCGTACGCTCCCATTCGATTTACTAATCCAGGCCAATAAGGCGGCGTATGTGGTACGTTTGCTTGCGTACTGAGTAATCTTGCATTTCAGAAGTAGATGTTGTTTGAGCTCCCCGGTGTGGATGTGCTTGATGTGAATGTTGATAAGGTGCCTACCTGTCTATTACTCACTACCTCGTCCATACTGGCTCCAGGAGACAGTTGGTCGTTGGTGGAGGGGACGGAGGGCACCGTCTTCGTGACGGTGCTAGGCTCAAAAAATGGTTCCATGCTGTGTGGAACGAGCTACGGTCCAGCCACCGCCATGTGTATGTCTGGTGTGCATGATTTCCCAATTTTTACCGGAATGCTTCTGTTCTGCTTGTTGAAGGAGTGTGGGCCGGCTCCGTTGATGAAACGTAGCTCCCATCCACATGCCTCCCAGTTTTATTCCTTCGGGTTTACACTGGATTTGGGATGTGTGTGGAACTGTGGGTGGTGCAGCGCAAGCCACCCATGGTCCCTCTGTAGGCGCAGGCGTCCTGTGACTGTCCCCATGGAGGCCACAGTGACAGGCAAATCCGGATACAGATGCCGCTATACCATATATACATATATATATATATATATATATATATATATATATATATATATATATATATATATATATATATATATATATACACGTATCAGACGTTTGTGGAACTATATTGAAAGAAGGTGTTTACCTTTTCGCATTTGTCCACTTATCTCACTTGCACATGTAACGCAGGGTGTCATCATCATATGCTCACTGCTACCTCTTCTGCCAGACTACTTCTCACCCAGAAGCTTCATCGTTTGCCAACTTCTCGGTTTTGTCCCCTCATCTAAACACTTTTTCACACTGTTCTATTTCCATAAGGATCCAAAGGCGAGCTATGACTTGAATGATGGTGATTCGGACCCGATGCCGAATATGAAGGATAGTAAAAATAAGTGAGTGGTGTGCCTTTTGTTATTTGCTCAGAATAATGTTGTCACCTTGCGCGGATTGTCACATATATTTTTTCATCACTTAAGTTTTACGTTTGACCGCGAACCGCATAGACGCATGTTCTCCGTTGTCTTTTTCAGTGAATCGGACGGTCGTTTATGATTACACAACTACTAGTGCTTACTACCCTTGGCTTTTCCCATACTAATTTCTTGTATCCCCTAGGATCAGCTTCCGCTGCTTTCTGGTCTGCTGCCATTCCTCAGCCTTCTTATCGCACATTTTGTTTATTATCCCACGAGGTGCAGGATGTCCAAGTGCGCAATTTTCAAACCTTGGACCTAATACTTTGCCGACAGAATGTGTTGCTTCTCTTCTTTCGACTTTGTGTCTCGCTCTCATTCACATACTGTGGCCCTTCTTGATGGATTCTCTTCCTAGAGATATATGTTGTCATGCATGCCCAAGTGCTAGAAGTTGGTTATTCTTCTTTAAGTTAGCCGTGTCTCTCTCATGCCCTGTCCGCACGAGGGACCTATGAGTGTCCGTTAGAGCTCCCTGAATGACCAATTTTTGTGCCCTGGCGGTCCCAATTGGTCACTTTTTGGACGACGTTTGGTCATTCAGGATGTTTTTTCCATCGCACTCTTCCCATTTACCGTGAATGCATTTTTTCTAGTTGCAAATTACCATCAACATTAAGCCGCACTCGATTCCTAAATTGTACTTACGCTGTACTTAAGTCGTTAAGCTAAATTAAAAATGTTTTGAGTAACAAAATTTCGTCCCAATTGGGACGTTTGGTCATTTAGAATGTTTTCTGACGCATCCTTGCCATGTACCGTGAATGCATTTTTCCTGATTGCAAACACCTCCAATATTATGCCGAAATCGATTCCGAATTTATACTTACATATTACTATAGCCGTTTAGCTAAACCGTAAGTGTCCTCGTGTGACCAAAAGTCGTCCAAAAAGTGTCCAATCTAGACGGCCCAAGGCACGAAAATTAGTCACGCAGGGTGCTCCAATGGTCACTCGTGCTGATTGAACTTACGATTTTCTTAAAAAGTAACGCCTTTTAGACAAATAACTGAACTGCCAAAGATGTACAATCTTAGTTATCAGAATATCTGGACAGATCATGCCACTTTTTTCATATTAATATTTTACCTCTGCGCATCTTCAAAAACCCACTCAAACGGGACGGCTGGCCGTCCATCTGTGCTTACAGGGTGTTTACTTTTGGGATTTATTAACTTACTAGTTGACTGATCTTTATTCGTTGGGTTTTTGGAAAATCCACAATTTGTTTATATTGCGACGCGTAATCTCATTTGGGACCTCAGTTTACTATGGACTCAACCTATGCCACTGCATTCATTGGGATCGTACCCGATGTGATGTTTCGGTGTTGCTCTATACTATCAGTACACTCCACGACGCGTTTCACCCTTTTTGGACTCATCAGGTAAAGATAGCCTGACCTGGGAATAGAACTCAGCACATAACGGTTGGTGCCTCTCGTCATGATCATTAGGCCAGCGAGTTTCGTGGGTGATGCTTAACACAGTGGTCGGAAGCTCATCGCTATTTTTTGGATTGCCAACCAATCTTTCCCCCTAATTAGTCCGAACAATCAGTGAGTAACACCGAAGGTCTATCTTTCTTGTTCTTCTCCCTTGAAGCTATTAGACGGTTTTCGAATTCCACTTACCGTTATCGCATTGGGTATCTTCTAACCTATATTTTGGTGTAAATTACATCTTCTTCCTCGAGTAGCTCCTCCGAACTTTGTCTTCCTCATGACCGATGTTTCCCTGTATGATCGCTGATCTGGAGTGAGTGCGTTACGCCCAGCGATGATCCGACGACATGCGCTTCCAGGTTGTTCAGTTATCGCTTGTTCGGCCTTGATTTACTTTTCCTCGCAGCGGTTTCTGCTCGACGGGATGATCATCTCGCCTGAGACCTGTTCATGCTATGTTATGCCACCTCGCGTCCATTTCTAATCGAATGTTCAAGGCGCTGGTGTGGTTTCGATGACCTCTGAATTAATTTGGCTCGCAACAGTGACCAATGTACCGGCTGAATAAGCTCCTTGATAGCTGCTAAGTTGTTGCCACAAAGGCAACACTTTGTGCTTACATCGTTAGTAATCCTTTCTGAAATAATTAAGCATTTGATCAGAGTTTAGATTTTCAAACTGTCTTTATAATCTATTTCCTAACTTACTCCATCAGCCCAGCTCATAAGAACGCCTGTCGCCAGACCGCAGGTTGGTAGTTGTCACCCACTTCTACTGTTGCTAATCTCCACCACCTCTGGCGTCGACGCGACCTGCGCCTCGCTCTAAATTACCGTATCTCGTCCTGCGGTGCAAGCGATCCTGTTCTATGGTTGTAAGACAGCATCTTCTCTCAGGAGATTTTCAAAGGATGTATGTTTCCTAACCGCTTTCTTCGGAGCATTGGTGGTGTACAATGTTGACATCAACGTACATTTAATCGAAGGCTTTGACTGAGGACCCGAGTCGTTCTGCTGTCAGGTGTGGGCGCCCTGCCAGTATCCTAATCCATCCTCTTCGGAGGTTAGGAAGTTGTCGATGGCCCACTTCCCATAAAACTTAGCCATGGAAGACAACAGGTCTGCGGGTTATAAGCTCACAGCTCGATTGGCGTAGAGCACGAGCGCCACGCATTGTCTCTGACGGTGGGAGAGCATCTCCGGGTGTTCAATGGTTCGCTACTGCCTGCCTCAAGCCTGTTAGCCCCTGGTCAAATTGGTGCAAACCCGTCAAAACTCACCTGCGTCTGGCCGTGGTCGCAGGTGCGTACCCTACTACGGTCGCAAAAAAATATGAATCGTTCCAATACCTCAAAGGCTGCGTGTGACGGCCGTCAAGCAGATCCCAATCTGTCTCTGCAATCACATTCCCGTGCTGGATCTGCTCCCCACTGCCTTTTGGGTCAGGCTATTGAGCCAAAGGCTCCGGGCGGAGTCCCTCAAGCAAACCTCTAAATCACCCACTCTTTGTGGGTACGGCTATTGAACCAAAGGCTCCGGTCGGAGTCCGTCAAGCAAACCTCTGAAGCACAACGACCACCTCGCGTGCGATTGCCCACCAATGCCATCGTATGCCTGCGCGCAAAGCACTCAGAATCGGGTGCTGGAACGTGCGCACATTACTAAACCGGAACTCCATTGAGCTCCCCGAGCGACGCACTGCACTGGTCGCGATGGAGCGGGCGCGTTACCACATCGATATTGTGGCGCTCAGTGAAACCCGGCTCGCTGAGCAAGGTAAGTTGCATGAAGCAGGTGCTGGCCACGCATTCTACTGGGTGGGCAACGCCGCCTCAGCACCACGTGATCATGGGATCGGATTTGCAATATCCGATCGCCTCCATGGCCAGCTGGTGAGTGAACCAACAGGCATCAGCGCGCGACTGAGGACTGTTCGCCTACGACTCGGAAGAGGTAAGTTTGCCACTTTTATAAGCACCTACGGTCCGGCCATGTGTTGTCCTGATGACACGCGTGATCAATTCTACACTAAGCTATCCTCCGTGATACGCTCTGTGTCGAGGAGAGACCGACTATTTCTCTTGGGTGATTTCAAAGCGCGCGTTGGGCGTGATGCATCGGTGTGGGGAGATGTTATCGGTTTGCGTGGCATTGGTTCATCGAATGCGAACGGTGACAGGCTGCTCTCACTTTGTGCCACTCACGGCCTGACGATCACGAACACTCGGTTTGCACTTATTGCGAGTGATATAGCAACTCGGACACACCCACGGAGTGGTCACGCTCACCTGCTCGGCTATGTCATCGTACATCAGCGTGCTATGCGTGAAGTGCGCATGACACGTGTACTGCGTGGAGCTGTGTGGCACTGATCACAAATTGATGCACACCAATCTGTACAAATATTTTCGTAAATCTATATATTGCACTCCCACCGTGAATCGACGTGAATTAAACATTCTCTCCCTCGGTACTGGGGCGAAACGTACTGAGTTGGAGAAGGCGATGGCTGCACGCCTGTGTGATGTGTACTGCATAGCCACAGTGGGCGACCTGTAGCACCATATTCGCGACCAGGTGACAGCTGCTGCTGAGGAGACCATCGGGCGCGCAAACTGTAAGCGACCTGATTGGTTTGATGACAGCAATACGACGATTGACGCATTGGTATGTGAGAAGAGTGCAGCATTTGCTGCGCATGTGGTAGACCCCAGTGACTTGGGGAAGAATAGTCAGTTTCGCAAACTTCGGCGGCGACTGACCCGAGAGCTCCGTCGCATTAAAAATGCATGGTGGACGGAGAAGGCGAAGCAGATGGAGTGTTACGCCGAACGCCGCCGAAGGAATTCTTTGACTTCTTGAAGGCGGTGTATGGACCAAGATTGGAGGCGCTGATCGATGGTAGTTCAGGCGCTACCTGCACACAGACTGTAGACATAATGCAGATCTGGCGGAAACACTTCGACTATCTCTTGAATAACCGTTCAGAGATCGACTGCTTACGTTGAACGGCCTCACGCATCACGATGTGAAGACGAGTCTGGCGGACATGCCGACACTGGATGAGACGCAGAAAGCACTTGCTCAGCTGCGAAACGGCAAGTGTGCTGGGGTCGACGGGATCCCGCCTGAAGTATTGAAACCCGGCGGACCCGCGTTGTTGACTGCGCTGCACCACTTGGTGCAACGCGTATGGATTGAGGAAGAGGTGCCTCCAGAGCTGAAGGATGCCCTTGTGCTACCACTGTACAAGGGCAAAGGTAGCAAGCACTGTTGCACGAATTATCGTAACATCAACTTGCTGAGTTGTGTGGACTAGGTGATTGCGCGAATCCTGCTCGACCGCCTCGTCAATCAGGTTGTGGAATCTAACGTGGCGGAAGAGCAGTGTGGATTCCGTTCTAGTCGCAGCACTATCGATATGGTGTTTGCGGCTCGTCATTTGCAGGAGAAGTGTAGAGAACGACACCAGCCGT